GAAGGGAAGGGAAGGGAAGGGAAGGGAAGGGAAGGGAAGGGAAGGGAAGGGAAGGGAAGGGAAGGGAAGGGAAAATGATTGCCTCAGTTTCATATTGTCTCCAGCTAGATAAATGAAGTCTCTCTATCCTCACATGAAATGAAGTCTCTCTATCCTCACATGATTTGGGTTTGATGCCACTTAACCTCCTCCCCAAGGAACAATCTCGAAGTAAGAAACAAAAACTGTGGCACTCTAAATGGCCTAAAGACCCTTCACACATGCATATTTTGACTAGAAATCTTGAAATGACAAAATTTAGAGGAAAATAATGTCAGATTAGAAGAAAGGTTGAATTTACTGCAATTTATAATTTTTATATAATGTATTATATAATTGGGTCTGTAAAGATAATTTCTTTAATTTAGGGCAGAAAACTTTATCATACTTTTATTATCAATAATTTATTTTCTGTGGAAATTGGTGATGAAAATTTTCAGCAATTCCACTTCCACTTATCTTTTAAAAACTAATAGAAAGTTTCCATTGTATTAAGTGGTGTAGTAATAAAAAGGTCCTAGAGGTTGTTGACAATTGGTTAATATTAAGTCCTGTCAGGTCTGTTTACAGTGAGTGTGTAACACATGAAAGTCACCTTTCAGTTTTCAAGAGAATTTGGGAAACAACTAAAGACACCAGTTCTCCAAAGCTGTTCCATCAAAGTGTTAGTTCAAAAACAAAAAGTAGACCAATATAATTTGCATTTTATGGTTTTCTCTGGTCTTTCTTCTTCATTTAGTTAATTCCAAAAGGTTATTAAGAAGATTAAAGCAGGTGTTTGCAGGTAGAAGAGTCAAGTTCATTAGGATAATAATTACTCCCTAGCTACTATCTAATCTTAAATTGCTGCTGGGGACATGTGACCTTGAGGCTGTCACACAGCCTGTTCTCCAGAAGGCTCATTGCTAATATTTTTGGGGGACAGACAAAGCAAACCAAAATATTTCATGTGAGAAAATACACAGAACCGCTTTATCCTAATGCCAGTGTATGAAATTTGACTGTTCAGTGGATGATAAGGAAAAGAGGGTTCATTCTTCTCAGTAAGCAAACCTCACTGAACCTACCATATAGCTTTTAATTACAGAATCTGTTTTCTCTCTGTACCCCCTTTCTTGTAGACTTTAACCTATTCCTAAGATTTGTGGTTCTTTGTAAATGATACCAAGGCATGAATCTATGCTGACTTATGAATAAAGCAAGTTATCCTCAGCAAATGACTTTGCAAGGTTTTTTTCCCCTTTTCTAGTTCCTGTAGTGACTGTATGATTTAACTGAGTTGGCATCAAAATAGAAATTGTGGAAATATGACATAATTTCCATTTTTTTTGTAACACGCTTCTTGGGATTAAACTGTTCTGTATAACAATCTGCACTGTGTCACACAAGTAAGGCTCCATGTAAGTGCTGCTCAGCTAAGTTACATTGCAGTGTTTATGCCAGTAAATGGAGTACTATCATTCTTTACATGGTAGGAAAGCCTGAATCAGCTTAGGATGCTTTTATTCACTCAAAAAGAAGGGTTGGATTGATGTTTTGTGTCATTTAGCAACTCTGAGAATGTCGTTTTTGGAGAGAATGTTACTGTGTGGTGGTGTACCACTGGGCGGCTCTTAGAGCCAGGAAGAGGAAGAGAGAGCATGACATTGTCACTCACAGGGGACCCACCAGGGACTGCTCTGTGCTCCAGCTGTCTATATACAATTATTGCATATGCCATCCCCATCAGAAGCATTGGAAAAAAAATTTTCAAGTGACTGCCTTAACCACCAACACAGGCAGTCTTGGTAACTTTTTCTTACCACTCAGATGATTCTTAATGACCACTGTAGTTAGTTTTACTCTAAATACAGTGGATCAAGTTTAACATCAGTAGCAGAGACTATCTCCATCCTCCTTCCTAGTAACCATACATCCCAGTTGTGAAAGCCTTCCTCAGTGACGCCAGATGGGCAAATTCAGATTCTCTCAAATAAAAAAATAATTTTACTTGGGTCTTCAACATGTATTAGATTAAACTGTTCTGCTGCATACAAAGAAGAAAGGGTGCCATAAGAGAATATAGTCACTTGCACTCATTTTGAGTACAGCCTGATATACAGGTGTTCTCACTGTTTCTAAAATCAAGCCTCAGGGAATATTCCATTTCCTGATGCATACATGTGCTCAGCCCCTGTTGAGAAACAAAATTATATGTGTATATGCAGGAGGAGAGCTTTAGATGCCTGAAACATTTTGCAGCAAAATCAGGTTGCTCCACCTGTGTTCAGGTTTGAATAAGATCTGCACTGGATTTACCAACATCACTATTTCGAACAGGGCTTTGAAACTCCACTAATGTATGATATATGCTAGGACCAGTCCTGTTGCTGTCTGAGCTATTCTGATGCTCTCAGAAACAACTGGGTGCAACTAACAGGACTTGGAGCATTCTTGTTCCATCCACAGACATGGCCCTACTGAGGAGAACAGGAAAAAGTACCAATGGGTAAAAAGTGTAAATTATCCACTTTCTCTCTTTAAGTCAAAGGCATAACTTCTAGATCGTAATTTTAATTCCAGAGCCTGTTCTTTTGCAATTTTTTAATACCAGGATATTAAACTAAACGTAGGAGACACCTATTGTTGCCTCAAATGTAATACACAAGTTCAACAAAATTCATACCAGTTTTTCCTGCTGGAGAAAAAATGTTCTAGCTGATAAGCAGACTGGAGAGAACCAGGGCATATTTGTATTTAAATAATAAAAAAATATGTATGCTTAATATATCTTGGAGATATTATCTTTTTTAAACACATAGAGTTAAATGAAACAGTTAAGAGAGAAAGAGAAGGAAATTGTGAGATAAGACACCTGAGATAAATAGTTTTAGAGTCGTTAAAGCAAGTGAGATATCAGAGAGGAGAAAGCCACCTATTGGGCTCCATTCGGGTGACAAATACTTCAGTCTTCTGAAGCATGAAGACAGGCAGAGATTTTGAAAACTAAAATGCCCAGAAAATGGATGAGGGGTAGCTGATGCAGAGATGCAATAGCAGGAGCTGACAAACTGCTTGCAACACAGCTGCTGTGAGAAGAGCTCCAAAGATAAATGTGGGGGGGCAGTGGGAACTCACAGTGTTGTAGCCAGCATACCCCATGTACAGCCCTTTCATCTCTTTTACTAACACACCTATTGAAGCTGAGGAGTGCCTAAATACCACTGTTTAAAAAGGCTTTCTGTCTTTCCACATTTATGCTGTAACAGGATGCTGTCTGAAAGCTCATGTAAATACCATCAGGAGTTGGACCCTGGACATAAATAACAGCTGGGAGAAAAGAAAAGGCAATGCAGTGAGCCAGTCAAAAAAACCATGAAACAAGCTCTTTCAGAGTGAAGAAGAGGTATGAATTTTTTGAGGTTTGCAGTTGAAGGAACCAAAAAGACAAGTGTAAGTGATAGATGCATCCTGGGTTTTCCTGTTACAACTATAGCACACAGATAGTTTGCATGTAAATGAAGTAACATTTGTCCCTGTGTTCTACATCAGCCTTACATCTCTGATTCACCAAGAGGAAGGATTTATGATCAATAGGTTGTGGCTGCAAGAAATTACTTTGTTCTTTTTCCTTTCCTCATCACTCATAAACTGCACTTCTCCCATGAAGCCTTTCAGCAGTGAACTTTATACAGATTTTACAAGTCCAAGTTTTGCTGTACCTCATGTATAGCATTATCTGAATAGCTTTTATGTGGTTTAGATTCCTGTGATTTAAATTCTGTAAAGATCTTATCTAATGAAACTCCTTAATCTGCCATTAACTTGTAGCACAGGAGCAGTGCTGTTGGTTTCTGAGCAATAAATTTCCTGCTTTAAATTTCTTCCTTGAAAAATATGTGTGTTCTAAGTGTTCTTACCACTTCTGCTTTACAGCTAGAGTTTCAGATTGCTCCAATTTTAGCAGAACTAACGAGATATGGGGGGAAATATTAGCAAAAGAAGCTCTGTAAAAGCACTCTTTTCCTATTAAAAGAGAAAACCAACAACAAACAACAAAGAAACCCCAATCAAACAAACAAAATCTCTCTTATTCTGGAAGCATTGTTTCTGGATACTTGAGATAAGACTGCCAAAATAGGTGAGCATTTGTCAGATGTCAATTTTTTTACTGATAGAAACATAGTTATGCAATGTTATTAGTGACATTTGGAATTCCTCTCAAAGGTCTCTGGGGAAATTCCTAAGAGGGGTTGGAGGATGGAGTGTGGCTTCCAGAGGTTGTCCACATTTGGATTTCTCTTTTTTTTCAGAGGGCTCTCTCAGGCATATGACAAAGCAGGGTCTCCCGTATTTCTACTCCTGCTTCCTTCAGTTTTTAAGCAGTACAATTTTCTATTTATTTCCTTGCATATTGCCAAGAACATTCCTAGGTCTTACACTGATCCTACCAGGGATATCAGCTGTAGCTCACCCATTCATTTCAGTGAATGCAAGAGCAAGATGAGTTCTCATGTGTATGTATATACTTCCCTCTTCTAGCAGCTCTAAAATACATGCTTTTGAAAGAGTTAATATAAGATGTAATTAAAATCCCTTGTGGGTAATCGAGTGGAGTATCTATAAAATAAATAATGTATCTAGAATCTCCTTAAAGCTGCAGTTGTCCTGTGCCCAAAAACCCTACAAGCCACAAGAGCCCAAAGAAGGGAAGACAAGGAGTGGAAAGAAACTCACCACAGTTATGCCATCATTTAGCAATGACTCTCCAAAGATCATCATGTAAAGCTGCTCATTAACGGAGGCTTCTTCAAAAACTACCAGCGCTGCCACAGGATCCACTGCTGAAATCATACTGCCAAAGAGCAGATTCTGCAGCAGGTTCAGGTCGGTCAGGCCAAAGGCTTTGATCTGGCAGACTCCATAGAGAGAGAGGCCAATCCCAAATGAGTTTAGCAGAGATCCCAGAACAGACCACCACAGAATGGACCCAAAGTTTTCAAAAAATGGGCGAGTTGGCATGAAATAACCCTCCTCCAGGACAATGGGTGGAAGGAGATACAAGAAGTAAATACTTGAGCTCATCACTGGTGGAGATTTGTGATGCGAAGCAAAGATGATTGCTCCTACCAGTGCTCCAATAGCAATCAGGATGCAGCTTTCAGGCATGAGTCTTGGTAATCGGTGATAGATATGAAAACCTTGAATAAAACATTAGGATATTATTCAAGTTTAAATCAACCTGTTGTCAGAGAGATGTTTTGCCTCTGTTTGAATACTTTGTCTTCAGACAGCTTTTGTTCTTGGGATTATGAATGTAAAACCAGGCAGCACTGTTCCCCTCGAAACTAAACATTCCCAGACTTGTATCATTAAAGCAGGGCAAGAGTTTGGCCACGAATCTCTTCTCTTCCTGCTTCCCATCTTTTGATTTTTAAGCAGGCATGCCTGAACCTAAGCTCCACTTCTGGGAAGGCAGAAACTTCTTTGAAGATTCTCCACAATTTGGAAAAAAATGTTCTTCAAGAATCCTTAATGCCCAACTGCTGTTAGGTTGTCTACTCACTATACCAGGAACTGTGTAATCATACTGTGAATGAAAGGTGTCTCTACTAGAAATGTGAGGAATTTTTCAGAATTTACAATAATGAGAATGAGGCAGACTAAGAAACCTTTAAATCCAATGTCTGTGTCTCTATGACTGAGGGTAGGTCAGCCTTCATCTTGTAACTCTAGAATGTAATGCCATGAATGTATTTCTGTGACCCTTGAATTATCAATCTTCAAAAGTAAAGGAACAGAAAAATATTTTTATGAAATTTTCAATAATATATTTAGGACATCATTTTTTATTTTTTATTTTTCTTACCAAAAGAAATGTTAAGATCATAACTTGACTCATCTCTCTTTTAATTATCATGCTCAAGTCTTCTGTCAGTTTTACAGAATAAGGGGATTGTTTTGCCTTTCAAGATCTCTAAAGTGTTTCCCAACCTGAAATCTTGACAGCTTGGAAATCTTCTCTGGGTAACCAGATTATTCAGACTAACTCTTTCTTCCAAGTATCAGCACTCCACACTTTTCATCAAAAATAATGTTATTTGAAAATTCTCAGTAAAGAGAACAGGTTCACTTGGAAGGCATCACACAGTTCTTCTAAAGTATCTATTTCTTGGTCAAAACAAGAATATTGAGTAGGTGTGCCATATGGCAAGTCCTGTGCTTTTATGGATGATGAATAAAGAAATTGGTCAATATGCTTACTGCTAACACACTCTGCTGATGCCATAACAACAAATTTTATTTGTGAAAATTTTTATTATTGTGCTAGCAGTGAAGACATTGTTTATAGGAATTGGATTGAGATCATCAGCTATAATAAAACTGGCAAATCATGGTCAGTGGTAATGACTTCTGTCAGCTGTGTGACTATGATATGAAAAATGTTTTTCTTCAGGCCATCTTCAGATAAATATCAGGCCCACCTACCAGCCTATTCTATAGTAATGTCTGAAAAACCCATGGAAAGATTAAAAAAAAATATTACATGTGTCAGCTCTTCATATTATTACCATCTTTCTCATTTATTTGACATTGCTGCATTAATTCTGAGTAGTCAAAATAATTTGAGCCCAGCTGTGAAAATGTGTAAGACATGATGAGCCATTTGCTGTGTTAATTGCAGTCCCTACTCTTCAATGAGTTGTCTTGCTCCATTCAGATACCCACATGGAGCTATAATAGAAGCTGGATGCATTGGTCTGTATTCAGAAGGTACCCACCCTACATCTCCAATGACCTACACCCTCTTAGACTCTCAGTCTCTCTCCTCTGGTATTACTTTCTGAGCAACTTTAAAGTGCAAACGTAAAACAAAGGCTCAGAGGGAAATGTTTCCTATTATTCACACAACAGGGTAATTCTTTCCACTTTTGTCCCCCAAATTCAATATGTTGAAATCTCAGTCTGGTGTAACTGATTTCTGCAGCAGAATCAGGTTGCAAATTCTGGTATCTTGTGATGTATAAACACTAGAAAAAGGGATGGACAGCACTGTGTAGGGGAGCTGTGTTGCTACTCAATAACACAGACAACCCAAGAAACATAAGGTCATATGTTTACTTAAGTTAGCTAGAAGCATTCAGAGATGGAATATTGTTACTGCCATAGTAATGAACATACCTGTTCTTTTGAGGACAGAAGCTGTAAAATCAATCCCAACTACAAAAATGCATGGAAGGTACTTGGCTACGTGGTATATTTTTAACTTCTTGCCAAGGTAGGAGGACCCAAGACCCATTTTCTACTTACCTATTTTTGCAAGAGAGGCAAGGAGGATCCAAAGAGTAACTTCATAGGGAATTTGCACATAGTCATAGTCCACTGAGAAAACATGTAGCCTCGTATCTTGTGAAGAGTCAACAGTACCCCCAGGATCAGGTTCACGATGAGGCAAGAAGCTCTTGCCCAGGTTGGGCTCATCCACATAAGCAGCAGCAGAACAGGAAATCAGACTCAACAGCAACAGCAACCAGTTTAAAAGCTTTGCATGTTCAAGTGCAGCAGAGCCCATGTCTGGGGCTGTGACTTTTTTATGACAGAGTACAGAGAGTGCATGAAGGTGTGTAACACTCACTTCTGCTGATTCATGCTGCTCATAGCCACAGCCACTTCTTCCTCGGGGCTGTTTCATTTGCCTGTTAGAGGTCATTTTAAAAGCCCTAATGTGCCTGTCCCGTTCCTTGTGTTACAGACGGACCTGGAGTTTGTATGAAGATACCGGTTCAGCAGGTTCCTCTGACCCAGATAAACCTTGGCCACAGCAACGCCCTCTTGAGGAATAAAAAGCTCTTTCCAACTACATTATTTATCCAGCCATTTTGATTATTTTTTCCCACTGTGAAAAATGTATTAAAAAAAAAAAAAGGCAAAAAGCTGCAATGCTCAGAGTTCAGGCAGCAAGCGCAGCACGAGTGAATAGTATCAGCTGGGAGAGATGCTTGATGGCAGCTTGGGAAGCCAGGATAGCCTGCTTCATGCCTTCCTCTCTGGCCCTCGCTTCTCGTCTGCCTCCCCAGCGCAACTGGAACCTCGGGCATCACACTTAGCACTGCTCACTGATCCCGTCGCAACTGGTAACAAAACTACTCGATGTGTAAATAAAGGGATTGTGCCAGGGCTCGCGGCAGGGACATCTGGTGGGGGACCACGCAAATTGCGTCCTTTTTCGGAAAGGGGTTCTCTCTCTTAAACGCGGGTTTAAACTTAGCACATTTTATCAACAAAAAGAAGAAGGTCTGACTCACATCACATGCCTAAAACTGGATTTTGAGTTATCTTGTTTGGCCTTTGTTTTTTTCATACCAGCAAGGCACTTATTGGGCAGCCACATTATCCTCCTCCAACAAAACATTTGGCCTTATGGAACTTTTTTTTAAAAGGTCAGCATCTTTTCTCCTCCACAATACCACCAGTCCTTCCACTGAAATCTTTGAACCCAATAAAAAATTAGGCAGATAATGCTCAGCCTGCTTGCAGAAGAGTTGTTCTCGTTTTCAGTATACCGGTCCTGTTAACAGCAGTATTTCTTGAAATCCCTTTCCAAAAAGGAATCTGGAAGATGGGCTATTCAATTAGCATTATAAAACAAGGATTTGTTAACTGGAAGGCCAAATGAAGTCAACAGAACAACAAATCAGTGGCTATAGTACTCGGATTTTCTTAACGCAGAGCACTGCATTTCACTCATCTACAGCCATACACACAGACTGCAAGATTCCTCCAGAGTAAGTGATATGAACCCTGGAGACTTGGCAGCCAGAGGACCGCAAGGGAAAGACTTTAGAATCCCTAGAAGTGTGCTAGCTGTGACAACCAGGGCTTTGATTTACAACTGCAACACACCCATAATGCCAACAAGTTCAGTGGGCATTGAGTGACCAGCATCAGACAGGATAAGCAATGTGCAGGTGTCTATGAGTGTGAAATGTTTCACAACTCGTAGGAATTCTTTCTCTCACTGCAGCAAGGATGGAGATGCCTGGGATCAGCCCTGAGACAGCAATCCTTCTTTTCTGAATCCATTAGGCATACCCAGTTGTAGCAGTCTCCCATGGCGTTTTCCTGGTGCTCCCACTGGAGGAGGTAACTCACTTAAAAAGTCTGGATTTTTCCCACTAGGCTGCATTGGAAAATTAAACTACAAGCTTCCTCTGGAGTTCCCTTTTTTAATTATTTTCTACAAAAAAACCTATAAAAATATTCCCAAAGAAGTACAGGGAAAGAACATTGTATGTCTCAACATCAGAGCAAAGGAGTATAATAAATATAATAAAAATAGTAATAAAAGAAAAATTTTTGAAAGATAGCTCACATTTATGGTTGCATGCAGTGAAAGTTTTACTGTGGGCTACAGCACTGTCACACTTCAGTCATTCTTACTGTTTTGGAGTGAGCTATTGCTGACTGTAGTGAGAGTTCACAGTCGTCCGATGATGTAGAAAAAGTCTTTGACAATCATGTCACCATTGCCAAGCCCTTGTGAAATTTCTGCTATCAGTATACCAATCTGAATAACCTTTGGAATAAGCCCTTTAGGCTGCAATTTCCCAGCATCTTAGTAGTTTTCACTGGCATGTGGTAACGCATATATTTCCAGAACTTCTTGTCTGAAGGGGCAGAAATAAAAGACTTCCAGGTAACAACTGGTAAAATCCGAAGAGCTTTCTTCACTGCTGGAGGTAAAGTCTCTGGCTCTTGGAAAGCTTGGAACTTTACTAATACCAGTTTGATCCTTTTATCTTCCAATGCACAGTTCACTGCTGCCTGCAGTTCAAAGATGCTTGGTCCACTGACATAGGCTGGGCTCAAGACAATAATTACCCTTCTGCTTTGTTTAATAGCTGTTACAACTTCATCTGTGTATGCTGGAGAGAAAATGGTGATAGTTACTGAGTTCTACAATGGAATTTTTATCTTATTAGTTCCTTTATGAACAGCTAAAACCCAGAAATAAGGAAAGCCAAGAATTGGAATGATGACCAATCACATAACCTCTAGAAATGTGTTTGCTATCAGAGGGTACCATGGCTGTTTTTGCATAGCCTTGAAAACAAAACTTTCTGCTCAGGAGATGCAGGGCACACCTGAGACCTCAACACACTTTGTTGCTACTCAAACAGGGTCTCAAGGGATACTTGGACTTGTCTTTGTCTCTCCCAGGAACAGGAACCCATAGCTTTCTAATTACTGCAGGTAGCATATACTAAAGTTGCACAGAAAGCAACTACTGAAATATCTGGGGTCTTCTTTCCAGGGAGTGGAGTCTGCTTGCAAAGAAATTCTTGGATAAGAAGCTTTGTCTCAGCCTAGTAACTCCCAGTGATCACACTCAAATGTACATATGCCTCAGGCACAGGGACAGGATATAAAGAACAAAATGTTATGAGATTTGAGAATAAACTCCACTACTAAAATACATAAGTTGTTGATCTGGTGCATAAGGGTTTTTTTGGAAAGTGAAACACAATTTTATAAAAACTGAAGAATTTCTACCATCCACAGGAACCTTACCTCCTCCTGGAAGAATATCTCTTTCAAGAATACATAACTTGTATCCATATTTATTTTCTAGCATATCTGGAAGAAGCTCCAGGGCAAATTTTTCCTCACTAATGAAAGTAGAGTCCCTTTCAGAAGAGTCTAGTTTTGCATAGGACACAAACGCATCAAATTCCTTGCCATCTAAAATAAATTAATAAAGAAATAACAGTGTATACATTGTATACATTAGCAAGTCTGGCTGAAGCATTCAGCTTCTTTCTTAATGCTCAGTTTCTATTTATACCTATTTAAGTAGGCACAACACAAACCTAAAATTATAACCTGTTCATGGAATACAGCTATCCGTTTACCAAATCCTTGCTTGCTCTCGTTGTCCTGCAAATTTTGTAAACATACTCTACCAAAGCAAAGGAGGAAGCTATAGATGACTGGTGCAAGGTAGTTTAAAGATCTGGCCCCTTCCATGCAAAATCCTTGTGGTAGGGAATGATTACCTGTCTTTTCTCTCATTTGCCCAAATGCTGCTTCCAAAAATTTCTCATCAATGGCCAACCTTCTCTAAAAATATAATTAGTTTTAAAGTAACAATGTTCTTAAATATTAGCTGCTTGCAAAAGATTTTTATGTTTATTATTATGTTTCTAAGCAGAGACACTGGTGTAAGGAGCAAAGCCTAATTCTTATCAAAGTATCAGTTCAGACACCAAGTACTGACCTGCAACTGAACTTTGTTTAAGTCTCATTAAAAGAATGTTTGTAGAGTGCAGATGAAAAATATATAAAGAACTTTCCTTAGCTTTCAGTCACTCTGGTACCAATGTCCTGAGTTAGGCCCATTCTTAACTACAAGGCAAAAGCAATCATATCTCTTTGTTGAATAAAATTTGAACTACATCTGAGGGAGAAGGAACAAAAAAAAAAGGATTTCTGGCGAAAGCAGGAGGCACAGTGGACTCAGTACATTTTTCCCTATGTAGTTGCTTGAGGCCATTTAGGGTGTCCTAAGATTGATAGAACTGCCAAATTTGACAGGGGAAGTATTGGAGACTCAAGTCTTTTGGAATGACAGTACATCCTCAGACAGCCCAAATTACATCGGACACCTATGACCAATTAGCTGAGTTGTATCATATGTCAATACAGTTAATAGAAACCAGAAAGAAATTCAGCAGTTTAGAGCAGGGTGCTGCTGCAGGGCAAGCTGAGAAGCTCTATAGATTTTACTGTATGGACTGCATCTTCACTGCTCAGGAACTGAGACATCTACCTCCAGCACAGACACCCGAGTGTTGAGTATCATGATCCACATGCCTCCATGTTAACCTCTTGATTCCTATCCCTACATGTAAGATTAGGATCACAAACAAGAGCTAGAGCCACCAAGTTGCCACAGAATCTAGAAGAGTTCATATGGAAAGGAAACACACAGAACACTAATGACATGGATGAACTGGGGTGGGACACCTACATTCAGAACCAGCACGTAGCAGAAAATATGTCATCAAGACAAAACATAGGTGTGCAGATTAGGTTTGGATGCCAGTGATGTGATCAGGTAACATGTTGCATCTCTGTTCCTCCCCTCTGCTCCTGGCCATACACTTTCAACCACTTCCTTCTACTGGTGTAGTAGCTCTTGTGATAACAGAGGAAGCCAATTCACTTTGCTGGCTACTCACTGTCTTTTACTGAGTTATTTTTCTGCCAAGTTGAGCCAATTTAAGCCCACAAGAGTGAATCACTAGCAGCAGGCACACAGGACTAGTGTGGGAATTGAAGGTGGTGCAAAGGGTCACTAGATTGATTCAGCAGAACATCAATTTAGCTACACTCTAAATTGAAGCTTCTTTGAAAACAGTTTTAAAATGGCAATAAATTGCACTACAAGCCAGTTATTCCTCATTTCACCCATAGAGGTCACTGTGATTTTATTACACAACAATCATTAGCGAACACATTCCTTTATAATATTACTATTACGATAGCAAGTTAAAACCAAATACACAGTAATCACCACTGGGACTTTTTTCCCCCCATAATTATACAAGACAGTTAAAAGCTGAGGAACTTTTGGTACAAATATTTAAGATCTT